AAATTGTGAAACTCGTGTATTAAATAAATTCAATGCACACAGACTGAAGTAGTTTAAGTCTTTGGTTCTTTTAATTGTGATGATTTTGGCTCACATTTAACAAAAACCCACCAATTCACTATCTCAACAAATTAGAATATGGTGACATGCCAATCAGCTAATCAACTCAAAACACCTGCAAATATTTCCTGAGCCTCCAAAATGGTCTCTCAGTTTGGTTCATCAGGCTACACAATCATGGGGAAGACTGCTGATCTGACAGTTGTCCAGAAGACAATAATTGACACCCTTCACAAGGAGGGTAAGCCACAAACATTAATTGCCAAAGAAGCTGACTTTTCACAGAGTGCTGTATCCAAGCATGTAAACAGAAAGTTGAGTGGAAGGAAAAAGTCTGGAAGAAAAAGATGCACAAATCTATGGGGTATTGTCAAGAGGAAAATGAGAAACAAGAGACCAAAAAATGCAGATGAGCTGAAGGCCACTGTCAAAGAAACCTGGGCTTCCATACCACCTCAGCAGTGCCACAAACTGATCACCTCCATGCCACGCCGAATTGAGGCAGTAATTAAAGCAAAAGGAGCCCCTACCAAGTATTGAGTACATGTACAGTAAATGAACATACTTTGCAGAAGGCCAACAATGCACTAAAAATTTTTTTTTTATTGGTCTTATGAAGTATTCTAATTTGTTGAGATAGTGAATTGGTGGTGGGTTTTTGTTAAATGTGAGCCAAAATCATCACAATTAAAAGAACCAAAGACTTAAACTACTTCAGTCTGTGTGCATTGAATTTATTTAATACACGAGTTTCACAATTTGAGTTGAATTACTGAAATAAATGAACTTTTCCACAACATTCTAATTTATTGAGATGCACCTGTACACACTTACAAATAAAGGTTCTTTATTGGCATTGATGGTTCCATGAAGAACCTTTAACATCCATGGAAACTTTCCATTGCACAAAAGGTTAATTCAAGTGGAAAAAGGTTCTTCAGATTATTAAAATGTTCTCACACTAAGAAAAAATTGTTATTTTAAGAACTTGTCAGGCTCTTTGGGGAACCCAGAATGTTTCTTCTGTGGCTCCCTGTGAAAACCCCATTTGGAAGCTTTATTTTTGAGTGCAGCAACAGGAAAAACACCTTAGCAACTGCATATAAATGCACCATAACCTGTTAGAAACCTTATAAAAATAACCTATAAAACACCCTAGCATAATAACTTCACAGCACTGCAGTTGTAAGAAAAAATACCATGGAGACTGATGGTGAATGTGATGTTTTTGATGGTTTTGAAGTGCTCAACTTCATTCAAGCAAACAGTATCTCTCATTAAAACCAGGCTGTTTTTTTTCTTCCTTTTCTTCCTTCCTCCACTGTTCCTTCCATTTGTAGGACCACCAGAGCAGTCGCATGGTCATCTATGAGAAGGAGAACTTCCTGGGCCGCAATGTAGAGCTGTGTGACGATTACCCATCTCTTCAGGCCATGGGCTGGTGTGACAAGCAAGTGGGCTCCATGCATGTGCAGTGTGGCGCGTGAGTAACGGTCGACAAAACACCATTGGTGCCAAACTACTGTTCTCCTGAACTGCACATTTTTCATGCTCAACAGCTGTGCTGACGATACACTTACAACAGAGTCATCTGCGTCATTGGCTCATAGTATCTAGTCCTTGTGTTTGTGAAGTGTTAATGTTTTTGCTTTCACAATACAGTCCAATGTAACATACTGTCAGATGAAAGATCTTTCTTTGACTGCACATTCCTCACTTGGTGCATCAGACGCACTCACATAACAGCAATACTGTACCTGTGACTGCCACATCGGTTATGTAATGACGTTATATCAACATTTCAGTGCATGTCATAACAGAAACTGATAATTTAACCCAGTGATAATTTACCATACCGTACATGGAAGAAGGGCTTGCAGTTTTCATCTGTTAAGTGATAAAACAGGAGAAAAACATCCCATACTCCCATGGGGCATAGGCAAGCAAAAGTCTAATTATGATTATTTGAAGTATTCAATTTCAGTCACACTTTATTTGATGGTCCAATTCTCACTATTAACTAAGACTTTTGCCTCAATAAACTTCTAATAACCGCTTATTAATAGTTAGTAAGTTTAGGTATTGGGTAGGATTAAGGGATGTAGAATATGGTCATGCAGAATATGTACGTTATAAGTACTTATAAACAGTCAATATGCTAGTAAAATGCATGCTAATAAGCAACTAGTTAAAGGCACAATATGTAATTTTCGCCGCTGGAGGGCGCGTATTCAAAATAAACAAAGAGACAAAGGCATAATTTGATGACGCCGTGACTGAGTGTGGAATCATGGGAGTTGTGGTCTTCATCCCCACAGCCGATGCAATCCGATGGGACTCGGGCAGAAATCATGTTCATGGATGCGCTAATGATTTATTAACGTAGTAGAATGAAGCAGGGTGAGGCTGAAAGCCGTCGAATTAGACAGCATTTTTTACATTTTTTGTTTTGATGTCAAATAAATCTTGCTGTTTTGCATTTTTGTTAAAGCAGTGTTGCTGTTGTAATGTTATACAGCTACAGCTGTGTTGCTGGGCTTTAAAGCAGGTTTGATTTTTTATTTTCTTCCTTATCAGTCTGTATTTACAGCAATTTCACTGTCCACTCTGTTCAGGTAGGGGTGTTAAATAATATTTTTTTGTTGTTGTTGTTTTGTTTTTCCCCATAGGTTTTTAATGTTCTAAAAGCTCTTTATTCCAGAGATACTACAAGCTAGTCAGTTTATTCAGTAGGTGTAATGTATTGTAAGTTGCTTCAGAGGTATTGCAAGTATTACATACAACAATAATAAAACAGTGCATTGACATAAATAAGGAAATTTACTTTTGGTTTTATCATACTAGATACATTTGAAAGTTGTTATTATGCTACTTTGTGCGGTCGTCACCGGTCCATTAAAACTTACAACATATTAAAATGTCTTTGGTGTTTCCATGTTTTCTACAAAACCAAGGGGTCATGACATCATTGGCAGGCGACACAATGACACTATGGACACGGTCCGTGTCACTAGTTAAAATAGCTTATTTCTCTGTATTTAAACATTCTTCTAAACATTTGGGCTAATGTAAGTACACAAGTCAGCAAAATACACTGTTCTAGTGGTTTTTGGATATTTTAATAAATAAATCTTACATATTGTGCCTTTAATAGTGAGAATTGGTCCCTAAACTAAGGTGTTACCTACATTTCTAATGTACATTAGAATCCAGCTGAATTTATGAATTCAAGATTCTTTCCTTCTATTGAAAAACGTATTTAATTCCCTTCCACACAGCTTGTCATATTGTATTCAGTCGCTTTACCTCCTCCTCACTTCCTTTCATGATCTCTTTCCCTGCAGCTTTGCGTGTTACGAGTACCCTGGCTATCGAGGACAGCAGTACGTTATGGAGTGTGACAGGCACAGCAGAGACTACCAGCACTGGAGGGACTGGGGCTCCCACTGCCAGACCCCTCAGATCCAGTCCATCCGCAGAATCCGGCAGTAATGCCTGAGGCGAATGGAAGGAAATGGAAAGCGTGCATAGTTTGGAAGCAGAATAGTCACACCAGTCATTCTAGCAGCAGTCACTTTATGAGGTGCAGTGTGGCAAATTGTAAGACCTTCACTGATTGCACATAGTTTCCACTTATGGTACTCCAGTACTAGACGAATAAAAAAAAATCCACGCATGTACAGATACACATCAATGCTCGTTCAAGAAAATGCACCAGCTCACATTCATAAACGCACATACATCCCCACATGTGATCCAAGGTAAAGTAGTAGCTTGTATGAACAATATTCATAAGAGACTAATATTCTATACAACAGAAGCACAGTGGGGGACACAGGAGAGTAAAAATCTGTCAATCCAGGCAAGATGTGTATCTGTATATGCAGACATGTCACGTCTCTGTGACGTTTGAGTGCCATATGGGGACAGATTGGAGTGTGTGTTAGAGCATTCTGAGGAGAGGAGGACAACGGTTGACTAATAAATACATACTCACCTCAAACTAACATCTTTGTCTTTTTGCCTGTTCTCAAAAAGATTGTAACAGTACTCATCATTTTTTAATGATTTCAGACTACATATATATAACACATGCTAAAAACCACTATTATAACAGACGTGAAAGACCTGCAAATCACTACAGGTGTTTCAATATATTCAATATATTATATCTAGTAAATGTTTTATGACAGAAATAAGGCACTAATACACAATAAGGTGGCGAGGGAAAGTTTAAAAAAAATATATTATTATTATTATTGATTTTCCCATTCTGACCACCTTTCAATGCAGATTAAAGAGAAACACTACAAACTGTACACTAATGTACACTAAATAAATGAACTGCAGTATTCTTGGAGCAATCGCATTCACATTCTAGCACATCAAACACTGGTTAAAAACATTCTAAAAGTGGCAAAAGTAGCATTTTTAATCATACATCTTCTATTTTATGTTTATTGCAAATATATGTTTTATAACATCATAAATGTAAATGAAATGTAACACTTTTTTAAACGGAGAGAACTTTGGTTCTTCAGTTACAATGAGGAAAAGTGATATGTATTGGATAAATAATTACAGTGCACAGAAAGGAATTAGAATGAAACACACAACTCGAGCACATCACCTTGACCAAGTTCAAAATGGAGAATATCCATTTCTATGGCAACAAAACCACCTAACCTTACAAGGTATCTGCAGTTTCCTCTTTTCACTTCCCATTTCGATGAAATGCTTGGTTCACTTCTTTTTTTTTACACTGTGAACTACTTTCTGACCTTCATTTTCTCATTGGTGGCCCACACTTTTCCTTTCCAAAGGAAAAAAAGTCTTATTTAATATAAAAGTGAGTAAATGTTTCCTATACCATCGCTTCTCTTTCAATCTGGCTATTCAGTATTTTACAACAACATCTCATCTCATTCCAATCTCCTCACCTTTTCACCTCTCCTTTTCTAGTCCCTTATGTGTTGGACATAGTCCTCTCTCTCTCCTGCCTGTTCGTAGGCAGCGTTGTCGTGTTTCCTCCTGCGGTCCCTAACCCTGCTCCTCTCCGGTCCTGGTGAACCCTGGGAATCGACGTCTGTATTTCTGTCCTCCTCAACTAACCCTCTCTCATCCTCATCTTTCTCATCATCATCAGCATCACTCAGATCTGTGTCGGATTCATCAGAATCTTCTTCCTCAAGGTATCGGTAACCTTTGACCTTTGAGGAATAGGACAGTAATGTAAGACATTAGCAATGAGAGTGATATGGAAGTATAATAATGACAAATGCAGAAGTCTATCCACCTAGAACAGTAGTCTCAACAATGAAAGGATAGTGTAGAAATGTATAATTTCACTCAACATTTAGACATAGACAATAGACATAGTAAATGCATTTTTGTTTTGTTTTACAAATTGAGGATGACTCAAAATTATTGTCTGTGGTAATCGACAGGTTCTGCCAATACAGTTGTTTTGAACCTGGAAACTTTCATTTTTTTTTATTTGACAGAATACATTAATTCTACTTTTAACACTAACAGGCTGTTTCTTTTAGAAAATCACTTTAAAGCCCCCACAGACTCACACAGACACATTCATAGCTGAATTACCTTGTGTCGTGGACGGGGAATCCGTGGCAACCTGAACGGAATTTTCTTCGCCAGGCGACGCTCCATTTGCACGTAGCAGAAACATGCCACTATGAGAGTCAACAACAGGAGTCCAAGCTTAGCCTTAAAAAGAGACCAGAGAGAATGTGCAGCTGACTTAATCACTATTTGTAAACACCGATTAATGTAAACAAAAAAATGTGAATACATCTCCACATATTGAGGTGCGGGCCCGTATACTGTTGATTAGCTGAATTTCGTGAACAAAATCCAGTCGTTTCAATAGGAATCTGTGCTGTCGGTAGTTTTGTGCAAGAGTGAAAAAGTCCCCAACACAGATTTCCCAATGTTTGTTGGTCATGCAAATGGACAACAGAAAGCTGCTTAGTTTGAAGTAACTTCTGCGTGAGCAGTGCTTCATATATTACTTTGCTACTCTTTTTTGCTGCAATATCGCTAATGTGACTGCACCTTTAGACAGAACTCAAGACTGAGACTAAACTGCCCATCAAAATGCCACAAAAAGCATTTGACAATAGTTTAATGTGTTTTCATCAGATATCAGTGTTTTCTGTACTCAATAACAGTGTGATGTCCAATTCACAAACTAAAAACCCTTATGCATGAATTCTTTTTAACAAGTTAAAGTGTGGTCACATTAGTGAAATTTTGTGGAAAAAATGGTCCATTGGCAACTGTCAATAGTATAGTGATATAAAAAGCACAACTCACATAGAGGTCAATTTCGAACCAAACAACTGGCCAATATCGCAAATTCGCATGACCAACTGAACCCGATGTGAAATCTGTAGAGGGGAAATCATTCGTCCTTATTCAAAATTCCCCGATCGTGTGGGTTCCTATTGAAATTACTGGAAAGCTTTAAACAGGAATCAATCAGGCAGCTTCAGTCAAAAAGGTTCACGAAACAGCTTCAAAATCGCTTGTTTGAATCAGTGAATCCTTCACTGATTCGAGTTGTCACCGAGTTGACAACTGACTCCCTTACTAAACTGCTAGTTACTTAATCTGAAATTAACCTTAACATTAAACATTAAATGACTATTTGCTCAATCATTCTTGTGTGACAACGTCTTATAAAAGGTACATATTCAAAACATAGTTTTATAATATTAATATAAAAAAATACATTGAATTTTGTTACATAAATATTAATGCTTATGGTTTCTGAGATTTAACTGAAGCAACTGTAAGGAAAAAATCAGTTTGGGTGACATGTTGGAACCATGATTGACATAACGGAACATTTTGTCAATTAAAAGCAAATTATTTTTTTCTACTGTCCTGTTACAGTAAATGCAAGGTATGCAATCAAAACCTGCAAAAATTAAAGGCTTTACCCGCATAGGCATTGCAGACCAAAGATAGACGATGAAGATTGCAATGGCCTGCCACCAATGATAGATAGTAAAAACAAAGTCTAGTCGCTCCTTGTCTTCATACAGCATCCCCAGCAGAGCTACACACAACAACGTTATGTCATATCATTGATGTTAGAGTGTCTTTCTGAAATGGGTGTAAGCTTAACGTGTAAATGGCATTTGTACTCACTGCTCAGTCCAGTCTTGTTGAGCGCAGTTCCCAGACCCCACAGGGCGGAGAGCACCAACAGATATGGAAGATAGCTAGGTGTTTGTGGTTGGGGCGACCAGCACATAAGGGTTATGATTAGCACAAAGTGCACGAAGGCGCCCACCAGAAGAATAATCGGCCTGGGCAATCGCAGCAGCGTCAGGGACAGGCCCGAACAGATGGAGGATGACAAACCATACACCATAACTAACAACCACAGCTTCTCCATCCCTACTGCACACACTCCATATGACTGAGAAAGACAGGCACAGAAAGGGAGAAAATCTGTTTAGGTAATGAGTGATTGCGCGCTGTTCCTTTAATAGCTTAATTAACCTAAATACCAGGCAAATTGGTATACTTGCAGAATCCTGCTTCTTCCTAGGTGCTTAATATTGTAGAATGGCAACCAAAAATGATCTTGTTAAGTTAAAAAATACTCAGTGCTGAGAGCTGACACTGTGTGACTTTTGGTATTCAAATTTTACCTGTGTATTTCAGCTATTTTGTCTCACCAGTATGAGTCCCTGGACGGCGAAGAGCATTTCAAAACCAGAGTAGACAAAGAACGGACAGAGCAGACGGAGACGGTAGTCTCGTAAGTGCTTGAAGGGCAGCTGGAAGATGTTCCCCCAGCCAATACTGCGAAGGTCAATTTCCTCTGTGGGCCGATATGCAGCTCCACACAACACCAGGAACTGTTAGGGAACATTGGCAGCACACTGTTAAAAGGGATAGTTCACTCCAAAATGAAAATTCTTGTATAACATGGAACACGAAAGGTGAAGTTTGATGAATTACAAGTAGTTCATACCACTCGTGCACTATATTTAAAGCACATGAACCAACTTTGTGTGAGGAACAGTCCAAAATATATGTTGCTGATATCAAACCAGAGAGCAAGATTTTCAGTCAACTTTTTTTATCATGCAAGTGATGTCAAACGTTATTAATTCAAAACATAATTGACTTTTTATGTATTATTGAGATCTTTTATAATAATTATTTAAATAGTCAGCAATTATTGAACCCTGAGCCACATTTTTTTCTTTCCACACACTTATTTGTGTTATGTACTAATATGGTAGACTTTTTGGTTGAAATATTATTGTACATATCTAAAAACTGTACTTTGATAAAACTTTAATGCCAACTTGAAAACTCACAGAGAATGAATAAACAATTGACGTAAAACCTGAAAAATCTAATTTCGGTTTGTTTGTCCCATAAATACTTGGAAAATAGTGCATGCGTTGTATGGACCACCGCTTGATAGTCATTGATAGTCAATCACTTTCATTATAAGGAAATTATTTAATTTTTTTTAAGAAAAAGTCGGTCACTCATTATTTTAATGTGTCTTTGTTACCATGTAATTACACAAATATGAACTGAGCAATATCAATTAACAACATGTACTTACTATACTAATTCTTTGTATAGTACTGTAATTACTTGCTTGTAATTATGCATAATTTAGTGTTATTTCCATTGTAAATACATGCAATGTGTAACAAAGACACATTAAAATAAAGTGTTATCAGAAAATGTAATGGATTCAGAATAACATGAGGCTAAATAATTTTAATTTCTGGGTGAAATATTGCATTTTTAAAATTTAAATTGAGTTACTAAAAACAAAATAACATTCTCAAACCTACTTTGGTTCAGTATGAAATATCTATGTAAAATGACTATGGAGGTCAAATTGCTGTTGACTACAGACTGTTTCAGTCACTGATATAATCCAAAACAGAGACGTCATAGTGATGATGATGATGATGATGACATGTCTTACGATGAGCATGGCGAGGAAGGCTGCTCCCATGAGCACACTCTCGACCTCGATGAGCAACAGAGAGCGAGGCAAGCTGTGCAAAACTGTCTTATTTAAATTCTCTATCACCCCTTTGCCTGAGGCTCCTGAGAGAGAGAGAGAGAGAGAGAGAGAGGATGAGAAGAGACAAGAGAAAATAATGCATCTAACAAGACTGTTTTATATTACATTTTAGGTCTGGATGCATACATTTTTTTAAAGACTTCAGACTTCAAACTGCTTCTTTCTCTATTCAGTGTTTTTCACTCTACAATATGGCAAGTGGGTGACTTTCCATGTCAAGCAGTGCTGCTGGTGATTTGGCGTTATTGGCTATTTTGCAATTCCAAACACTGGTTTAAAAAAACTCTTATCGTCATCTCTGCTGAGAGCTAGGAAGAGCCAGACATAGCAGAGCCCTGGAGAGCAGATGTGCTGCTGCCCCGGTTTGCAGGAAGTCAGAAGTGTGAAGTTTCTAATTGCCAAATGACTACATTTTTTCCAACTGTAAATATTCACGACACATTTGATTTTATTTTGCAAGATATCTTCTCATCACATAAAACTAACTTCAAGATGATTTTGATCAAATTTGTAACTTTTTTCTTTGGTGTTAAATGGAATTGATTAAGGTGCATTTCTTTTCGGTGTAATTAAGTAAATGTAGTGTAAGTAATGGGCATTTTCACTCACTTAAGTATTTGGACACTTAGGCCATTCTAAGGCATACATATATATGCCTATACATTGTATACATCTACATGTACATCTACATATACATAATATATTTAAATTAATGAGATAAAAATAAATAAATAAACAAACCAAGTAGCATCTGGAAATATATTATTCTAGAGAACTAAGTGATTTTTGCAATTACTTTTAACCCCTTGGTCCCAAGGTGAATTTTAATGGACGTATGAAGTCACCACTGGTTTACTGCATTACTTATGAAATAGCATTAAATATGTTTTGTCTTAAATTTTGAACCGTACATATAGTTTTATAAAACCGAAAAACTATCTAAACTTAATTTGTTCAAAAGTTTGGGGTCAGCACTTTTTTTTTTTTTAAGAAATTTATACATTTTTTCAGCAAGGACGCATTAAAATCAAAAGTGACAGTGAAGTATTTTACATTGTTACACACACAAAACCTAATTCAAATAAATGCTGTTCTTTTGAACAATCCTGGAAAACATGGTTTCCATAAAAATATTAAGCAGCACCAAATCAGCATAACATAATGATTTCTGAAGGATCATTTGACACTGAAAACTGGAGTAATGACTGCTAAAAATTCAGCTTTGCCATCATTTTAAAATATATTGAAATAGAAAAATGTTATACTGGTTTTACTGTGTTTTGATCAAATAAATGCAGCCTCAGTGAGAATAAGAAAAAGAAACAACAATGTTTTTCACAAAAATCGTAACGACAAACATATCAATGAATCTCATACTGAGATAGTTCTTTTTCTGCCTTTGGGTTATTTTTTCTAGCAAGTCTGGTTGGTATTCAAGCAACAGCTGCTGAGGTGTTATATTGTTTTTCCACAGTGTCAGTTTTTATTTTTATGTCCTGTTGCTCCCTTATAAATATATATACCTATCTATACCTTGTGTTTGATGTGGTAGTTTTATAGATATTTTTATAGGTGTTATAACTTCGAGAAATATCCCCCCAAAAAACCCAAAGTGAATAGCGTTCTCTTTTTAAAAGTCTCTCCAGTGAATGCAGCAGCACTTCAGTTTTTAAAGTTTTTTTAAAGTTTTAAGTACTTCATGAAGTCATTTTTGACTATTCGTCGTTCAACATTATGCATCAAGCACATGAAAACTTCATAAAAGGATATGAGAACTAATGCAAATGTCATACTGAGCAGCTGCTCGATCTGTGACCGATGCATGAGCCTTTAAAATGTAAGCGTGTAAAGCTAAAAGGGGACAGGATCGAGAGAGAGGACTTTACCACACTGTGTGACTTTGAAGAGAGTGTGTTTGTAATCATTCAGATAGTTATTGAGGAACAGCACCATGGGGAACTCGGCAAACACGTAACTCAGCTGCAGGAGAGAAGAGAGACACAGAGTGATCGCTATAAATAGCTGCATATTAATGCACAAACCCACATATGCAGCCGGCATCGACACATACACACACGCAGCTGTGAATACATATAAATGCTTCCGTTATGATGGCAAAGGGGAAAACACAACTAATCACAGGTTAACTAATAGTGAATTATTGCAACTTACAGCGTTTCACACATTTTAAGAGTGCCCGAAAAGGCTCATCTTTACTCACATGGAAAACAATGTAGAAGACGGACTGGAAAATTATGATGTAAGAATGGAAGGCTCCTTTGGGGGGCTTCTTCTGCTCCTGGACATGTTCGTCCTTGTAGTTCACGTACTCATAATACTGCTGGGCCATTCTGATGACCACACACAAACAAAGAGGTGGGAGTGGGTGGGTGGGTAGTTAGTTAGCTGTATCTGTATCTGAGAAAGACTCAATAACAAAAGAGTGTATAATGCAGTAGTGAGCTTTTGTTTATGCTTGTTTATGCATGAGGAGGTATAACTGAGAACTGCTAGCTGCATAATCTGAAAAATAATGACCAAGCATTTCTGGTCCTGATTGAGTCGATGTTGCAATATTGGAAATCTACCTACAAATGGCTTAGTTATAGTCTCTCAAACAGAACTGGGATCATTTTTTTATGTTTTGAATATATTACACAACAGAGGATTCATGGTCACACTTTATTTTAAGGTCTAGTTCTTAGTATTAACAAACCATTAACTACGACTTTTGCGTCAATGAACTCCTAATTTACTGCTTATTAATAGTTAGTAGTTGTTAAGTTTAGGTATTGGGTAGGATTAAGGATTTAGAAGCTTTATATGTGCTAATACACAGCCAATATGTTAACAATAGGCATGCTAATAAGCAATAAGCAACTAGTTAATAGTGAGAATTGGTCCCTTTACTAAAGCATTACTGGATTCACCACTATTACAATTCTGCTTGAAACCAATTAACCAATACCAGTAATTGTTTTGAGGTTATGGCCAGTAACTGCAAAATATATATCCAATATTGACCGATACAGATACATTTTAAAAATCTCTAATATCGGCCAATAATAAACAGCATCTTCAGTTTGGCTTTATTTTGCAATATTATGCTAAATAAATTTTTGGAAAATAAAGAAGTAGAATAAAATATTGTAAACTCCTAACAAAATAGCAATATGCTTAAAATGATTGACACATACACTATTATTCAAAAGTTATGTACGATTTTTAAATGTTTCTGAAAGAAGTCTCTTATTTAAAACAGCAATATTGTGAAATATGACTACAATTTAAAGTCACTGTTTTGTATTTTAATATATTTTAACATGTAATTTATTCCTGTGATGGCAAACCTCAATTTTAGGCATTCATTACTCCAGTCTTCACATGATCCTTCAGAAATCATTATAATATGCTGATTTGGTCCTCACATTTCGTCTTCTTATTATATTATCAATGATGAAACTGATGTGATGCTTATTATACTTTTTTTCAGGATTCTTAAAGGGGTCCTATTATGCTTTTTCACTTTTTCAACTTTAGTTAGTCTGTAATGTTGCTGTATTACGTGTTTTTTGAACAACCTAGTATGAGAGCCTGTTCTAGTACACCCCCAAAACAAAATCAAGACTTTGTAAAAGAGCATAATAGGACCCCTTTAAATATAAAGTTCAAAAGAACAGCATTTATTTAAAATCTAATTTTTTATAAATGTCTTTACTGTTACTCTTGATCAATTTAAAGCATAGAATTTCTTCCAAAAAATCTTTCTAATCCCAAACTTTCAAACAATAGTGTACATGTTCTATGCACCTTCAGCTTTTGAACACCCTCACCTGGTGATGTAGTTTCCCAGTGATGCCCAAAGAGGAACAATGACAACACCAATGGCCACAGCTGACGGTACAAGAGTGTAGTATCGCTCCCAGTAATTGGTTGAAACAAAGAGAGCATAGATGCCTGATGCCAGGAACATCATCCATTTAGTGCCAAGAAATCTGAGAAAGAAATACAATTACATTGGAAAATAAAGGGTGTGGGATTACTGGACTGTAATTATCACATGTCATTCTCAGTTTACACCACGGGTGTGAGAAGACCTTTGGTGCCAAAATTGCTCAAGCATTAAGTGGACAGTAGATGAACAGTAGGAAGTGCTGCTAATAATTGTGGCGGTGGGTGACAAACATCCAAAGAACCAAACTAAACGAGCAAAACGGAAAAACGTGGGTTGCATGAGGATTATGACCAAAACAGAAAGGAAAAGACATAAACTCAACCTAATGAGCACCGGCGTGTAGAGCAGGCCGACAATAGGTGTAACGTTGATGCCCATCAGCATTTTGTTGTCGATATCCTCCAGCCCTAAAGTGCCATACTTGACCTCTCGGTAGGTCTCATCGTAGTGCAAAATTAACTGCATCTGTAACAGACCTACAAAGAAACAGCTCGTGATGAAACATGCACAACACTCCAAAAACCTGTATTTGTTTTTGGCATGTGACAAGATGTCCCAGATTTGTCAGCTGTTCCTCAATTTTACAGTCTCAGACCAAATGAGACATCTTTGTGTGTGTGCGTGCCAATGAACTTGCTAAAAATGACCAGAAGAGTGAAGAGTCAGTGAAGTATGCCATCCACAAAGCATGTCATATTCATTTGCACTGCACAGTGCATAATGAAATCACACTGATACAACAGTGTGACATAAGTAGAGTCCTACTCAATGTCGTATTTAGAGTAAGATCTTTTTATAAAGCAGCGTGCAGACTTTGAGGAGTATGAGGTCATCGTTGGACTGAATCATATTATGTGCCTGTGGTGTGTGACGCGCAATGGCTGACCCATGTAAACACTGTAGATGATCATTCCTCCGCAACTGGCCCCCAACGCATTCTTCACTACACCCAGCCTCTTTCGTCTGTAGTACTTGCGCTCCTCCTCCTCCTCATCGTAGTCAGGATGTGGGCCGAGAAACTCCTCCACCTGTTAATAGAAGAAAGATCCAAAAGTCTGAGACCACTCTGAAAATTCCAGATTGTTGTTTTTTTGTTCATTTATACATAGACAAAGTTTAAAGGTTTTAAAAAATTAAACAATGAAAAGCTATGAGGTAAAATGGAATATTTGAGATTCTGCCGTTTTTAGCACATTCGTGACATTGACCATGTGAACTTCAATTTTTTTTCCTAATCAAATTTTACTCAAGTTTTTATGCTGTTAATATAAAATACTATAAAAAGTCTGGAGTCAATAACATTTTCTGAGAGAAATTAAATCTTTTATGCAGCAAGGATGCATTAAATTTATCAAAGTGACATTTAAAATGTTACAAAATATGTATTTCAAATACATGAAATTTCTATTCATCAAAGAATCCTGAAAAAACTAAATGTGTCACAGTTTCCACAAAAATATAAACTGTTTTCAACATTGATAATAAGACATATTATTTGAGCAGAAAATCATCATATTTGAATGATTTCTGAAGGATCATGTGACACTGATGACTGCAGTAATGACTGCTGGAAAAATGAAAAGCCATCACAGGAATAAATTACATTTTAAAATATAGAGAAATAGAAAACTGTTCTTTTAAAATGTAATACTATTTCACAATATTACTGTTTTTACTGTGTTTTTGACCAAATAAATGCAACCTTGGTGAAGCTAAAAGACTTCTTTCAAAAACATTAAAAACAGTAATGTAATGTGCAAGGAAAATATTGTAATAAATATAAAATAGTATACAAGTTTCTTTTTTTTTAATTTTTATTGTACCTCAGTATATCTAATTCACAAATATAAATCCCGAGTATTTAAAGAAAAAAAGGCTGCAAGAAAACTTAAAATAATTAAACTCAGGACTCAATGAGAAGATGTAAAATTACATCATAAGTACGGTCCCCTAAACCACTGTTGTTTTTATTGAAGAACAAACTTCTGGCATCATGAAATTAACAGTGGTTAATTATTTCATCTGTTGATTTTTTTTTTTACAAAACGTTTCAAGCAGTTTTGTCGCCATTACATCAGAAGAAATAGAAGAACCAGAAGAAACATCCTAGCCTACATGATTTAAGACTATGGCTACCTGTCCCTGAATGTTTCCCTCAGGACCGCGCAGCTGCACTTGATCATCTCCATCAGCAGGGGGCGCACCGTTCACTTCAGCCTCGCTGTACACGTTATCTTCAGTGATCACTGCTGCCATCTGGCGGCCGCACTGCTCTCTGACCACAACAGTAATGCAGGTAGATCACTGCCGAAGGTAAAAACGACGATGTTTTAAAGATAAAATAAAAGAAATAAACATGAGTGACAGCAAAGAAGAGGGAGAATAAGAGAAGACTGTGGTGACTGTGTGATTGTAATGTGGAATAAATATTACATAAATTTGTTCCTGGAGTTAATAAAAAACAAGGATTGTGGGCGGAAGCTCTACAACAGGTGTACAAAACGAATTCATTCGATGTCAACACGACATTTGAACACATTTATAGGTAATGCTGCATATGCAATGAAGCCTGACGATCACACAGGGCGAAGTAAACATTAAGCATTAACTAAGAGCAAATATAACTCACCAAAGTGGAGACGATGAACGCTATAACGTTAGTGGCAAAGGCTGCAAAGTCTTGAAAGATTAAAACCTAACGTTAAGATTCTAATCGAGGCTCTAATGAAACTTTCGCCTCATGAACAGTTGCGTGTAGGTTTTATTAAGAAAACAAAGAAGGAAATGAAAGTTTTCACCCTAGTTCCCCATTTTCTTAAAGAGATAGTGCCTCCAAATGTGGGCTATGTACATATGACATAAACCAATTGACCTATCGGCAAGCATATCTGTCAACCCTCCCGTTTTTCCCGGGATTCTCCCGTATTTTACCATTCTATCCCGCTATCATCCCGTTTAAATATTTTCCCGTATTTCTCCCTTATTTTTAATCTTTCTATTTAAAAAAAATCCCACTCGGCTTATTTTGTTTGCTACATTCGCTTCCGGTAAAACTCCCGTAATTTGTATGGCCCAAACTCATTATATGAATAATCATGACAACAAATTCCAAGGTTGTCCGGTTGCCAGATCTCGTATGAAACGCATCTTTCTCACACAATCGACGCATACAAATTTCAAATTTGTCCCCTCAACCTGGCAACCTACAGCCCAGTGATGCTATTGATATCTGTGCAGGGAGTAACAATGATCACTGGTAGAAATGGGAGGAGAAGACCCAGGTGGTGCTCCAGTGAAAAAAAAAATATACATGTAAATTGAGATATAGCTTACACTTCAAAAGGCTATTTAATTGATTGAATATGAGCGCTTCAAAGTCAGGTGCTGCGCTGCTTTGTTTACTGTGGTTATGGGGGAAACCAGTTCCTGGCGAAAAGCGCCACCTGCTGGCAGAGATTGAATTTGCATTTTTCAATAAGCCCTTCTGCTCTGTTTAGACCAGGGGTGTCAAACTCAGTTCCTAGAGGGCCGCAGCCCTGCAGAGTTTATTTCCAGCCCTGCTCCAACACACATACCATGTAGCTTTCAAATAAGCCTGAAGGATTTGATTAACTGGATCAGGTGTGTTTAATTAGGGTTGAATCTAAACTCTGCAGGGCTGTGGTCCTCCAGGATCTGAGTTTGACATCCCTGGTTTAGACCAAAGCCAAAAACGACCCTTATTTTTACGCAGAAAACTCAGTTGTAAATGTGAACTGATGGATCGACAAGAAGATAATGAATTATAAAACTCTAAAGATATAGCCTACACTAAGATTAACAATTAAATATTCCATAGAGGGAAATATAAAATATTTTAAAGGGGTCATATGACGTTGCTAAAAATAAAATTATGTTGTGTATTTGGTGTAATGCAATGTGTTTATGTGGTTTAAGGTTCAAAAAACACATTATTTTTCACATACTGTACATTATTGTTTCTCCTCTATGCCCTGCCTTTCTGAAACGCGTCGATTTTTACAAAGCTCATCGGTCTGAAAAGCGAGGTGTGCTCTGATTGGCCAGCTATCCAGTGCGTTGTGATTGGCCGAATACCTCAAGCGTGTGACGGAAATGTTACGCCCCTACCATACTGTGAATGTGATGCCATGTACCGGCGCGATGAGACAACACCAATAAATCCCATTACAAACGAGGCATTTGTTGCATCCAGTGGGGACATACACGACAAACAACAAGCGCTACTCTGCACAGCTCAAAACTCGCGTTTGAATCGTCAGTGGCAAATTCTTGAGTGAGGAACAGCCGGCGGGCTTGAGAACGGCGCGGACGGCGGATTCGACGAAGGAGCGGCAACCACATGTGACGACCCCGGGCTGGACTCCACTTCGTCCACAGTGAAAGCCGATCCGGCGATCTACAGCGCGAAGTTTATGTATTTCCTCAGCGACCAGCACGGATCAGCTCTAGGCATGACGAAGCGGATATCGTCCTCTTTTGGAAGGCCAAACAAAGTAGTTTCACTTTCACAACAAAACACACATTGTCTCCACGACATGGCGGTGGCGGCAACAATATACTACAGCGAGAATAAAAGTTACGGCTTCTTTCTTTGCGTGAACATTTGGGCGATGTTATGCAAATCTTCCCACACAGTGACATAGACATGAGGGGGCGTGTTTAAACGAGGCGTTTTAGGAGGGCGTGGACAAGTCTTAACTTTTATAAAGAATATCTCTTTGGGTTTGAGACTTTGAGACTTAGTCTTTGCAACTTTAGGGATCTTATCTATGCACGAACGGCTTGTAACACTCCAAAGAGAAAGGAAAATTTGAAATTGGATCATATAACCCCTTTAAAATAAATATGGTGGGTAACTCCAAATTCCCTTTACGGTAGGGTATTCTAAAGTCTTTGGTAACTCGAAGCGAGGGTTTACAGTTAACAATGCAAGTGGGAGAAGTCTCATATTACGGTCGATCGCGGATGACAACATCCCAGATCAACACTGTTCATGTACCGCAGGGTACTTTTAAATTAATGTACATTTAACCAGTTTAATATGAAGAGGCACTAAAATGTACACCTTCGTTTATGTGCTTTTGACCAACACCATTGACCAACGCCATTGGCTCATCTGCGTTCGAGGGGAGGGGCTTACCGAAAGGTCGATTGGAAGACGGCCTGCTTGGCTTCTCTTGCTCAATGTTTGTGAAAGAACTTGAGGAAAAAAACTAACATTGCTATCACTGCCTTTTACACACACAGTCAGTCTTAATTTAACATACTTTGAGAAAGCTTGAAATAAATGTCTTAGAAAATATAGGACATTTACCATTACCCAAACCATATGTATACTTAAAAGAACTGTTTGCCAAAAATTAAAACTCTTGTCAGCACTTAGCCTCATGCTGCAAACCTGTATGCTCTTGTTTTTCCATAAAGAATCTTCAAGCAGCTGCTTTCCATACAGTGTCAGTTTATAGTGGCCTCCAAAACCGATCAGGAAAGTCTCATTGAAAACGGAGGATCTGTTACATAAGTTGTTCTTAAAGATGATGAATTTAGAGACACTTCTCCCTGGAAAGAATTTTAGCATACTGACAGTCCATCAGTTGCTGTTAACATGCTGTCAGCACATTAAAATAGTATTTAAGTAACTGAGACTATAAATTAATCCTCTTTTAAAATAAAAACATTCTCAACTGTCAGGTAACCATCCTGCTGACAATTTTATTTCATAATTTCTAGAGCATGCTGTTTTTGGCTAATTTTAAAGAAAGAGTCATAAGTGAAACAGAATGGTAAACATTTTAATTCTACTGAGCAATAAAGGTACATTTTGTAAAATGACTCGGAGAATATCAGAAATTACAATGATCAGTGTCAACATTAAAGAAAAAAACTATTTCACAAGGACATCATTTCACAATGCTCCACAAATCTCCCTACACAGACAACGCTTTATTTCTGTGATGTTAATAATGTTCATGCCAACAAACTATCAACAACTCGTAGGGTAAAATATATCCCACCTCCTTCCAAAAGTCTGGATTATTTAGTGGCATGTCTAACAGTGAATCAATATTTGTCGCAATATTGTTCTTATTCATGTTATATTATTTATATCCATGGCCACGCTGCCTGATTTCCCCGTTTGGATGTCCAAAGTGCCCAATCCTTCCACAAACCCCATTCAAAGGCCTTCAGCCCCACCCTTAGAGTCTGTCTCAGGTCTATCCAGTGCCCGCGGCGGCCTTCCTCATCACCTCCTCATCCTGAACAGAGAGCTCAGTGAGTTTCCGACCAAGTCTCTCATGCAAGTCCAAGTATTTGGAAACACAGCGGTCCAGACACACAGCTTCCCCCTTTGAAAGTTCTGCCTCCTTGTAATGAGGCGGAACACATTTCCTGTGACATGCATTGGTCATGCTGCATGAGGGAAAAAACAAAAACAAAAAACACAGGACAGATGAGATGGTACACATTTGGTTATGTAATGTATAATCTCAATGAAACAATGTTCACCTGTACGACTGAGTGAAGTACCTATACTTTTCATTAACTCGTCCCATTATTTTGTAGAGACTACAAGGTTTGTAACAATGAATTGATCAAATCAATAATAATCGTGAAGGAAAATAATCGAGAATGAATATGATTATTGACTAATTGCATTCACGGAAACAGCCAGGCACGTCATTTTACTGTAGCGAATAATAACACATTTGTATGGACAAAACTCAAATGAAATATAGCAGAGGACATAGAATGAGCTCCCATACGTCTGTAATAAATCTGACTAAAATATATATTTAGCTATATTAAATGTATGTTTAAAATGCTACATGTAACACAAGTAATTGTATTTGTTAGAGCAGTAACTGTAAAGGGAATATTGTAATGGGGTATAAATATAATTACTATGTACAGATGAGTGATTGTACCTCTTACCAGTTAACGTGCTTTTTTTTTTTCCATTTAGTGAATATAACTTTAAAATAGTACACAAACATTTTTTTCAAAGAATGTAATGTTTCCCTTTTTTATATACAAATAATGAATAATATAAACTACATAGATTTATTCACTACATTTGTTGTCATAGCCTTCAATTTGTAGGATGTGGGATAGCATTTATAGCGAATACGCACAAAATAATCGCAAAATCTGCTAATTACAAAAACTCTCACTCACTATGAAAATGTATGAATGCTTATCTCAAGGGCACAGGCTAACAGTTTGGAGATGTTTATATACTCATACGTTTGACATCCTGCCATTTATGCAGGCAAAAATATTGGTCTGTCTGCTCCGAGGGGCCAGAAAAAGTAACGACGATTCGAGCTGGTCGATTATTTGTAAACTGTACGAGTGCATACAGCTTGAAGTTCATACTAGTAACGTAACCTTACTGATATGCCAGATGATACAAAAATAGTTAATATGAACGGAAGAAGACTGTGAACCTGCTTAATAACTGAATGCTTTTAACTGTCGATAGCAGTACTAATGACACTGCTGCAGGTTACATAGTAACTTATAGGCTAACAGCAAAAAGCAAGTTTTATCGTGTTCTACATAATCTAAGTATGCGATACTGAGCAAGGCCTGGTGTCTAGATCTAATAATAAAATGACAGAACGTATAGCCATCTATATCCACTGTAGTCAAATATTGCATCTACAATATACTATTCAATAGTTGTGTAACCTACTACACAAGTCCATATATTTCGTATGTCATATACCGAGAACGTAACTAATCTGAAATCATGCTGTTACACATATAAAAAGACCACCGTAGGCTTCATACCGGTTATACATGTCAGCCATCATTTCAACCTCCAGCTCCGCGGCGAGCTGCTGCGCTTTCATGGGGTCCATTCCTGCAAATAACCTTTCGGGTTACCCTCACTAAAAACCCACCGGGCAGAGCGTGGGTTCCGTTCAACAAAGAGCTCTGACACAGCCTGCTTAACCTTCAGAGCGCGCGCTTGACCGGCGGAAATACCCACGTGGATCCTCCTATCCATCCAGCGTTGAAATGGGTACTTCCTTCTTCTTCTTGTTTTATGGCGAATAACTCCTTAGGAGCATTATCGCCACCTATTCGCCACTTTTTTTGCTAGTTTATCAACAACTTCGTTACCAGATACCCCAACATGTGCTGGCACCCAACAAAAATATACCATTATTCCAGCCTCTTTCAATCTGTATAAAGATAGATACACTTCCATTAATAAATCTTCTCTGTCTGATCTCGCATGTGCTATACTAATTAAAGCTGAAGACGAATCTGAACATATTACCACTTTATTTGGAATTGGTACTTCCGCTCACAATAAAGTTTTTTTATTCAAAAACACTTCCGTTTGCCTCTGCTTGTGTTTTGTTTTTATTTATCGTTTTTTCTTTATTTTAATTCTATTTTATTTAGCTATTAGCATGATTCTCGCATTCCAATTGTGATTACTGGGGGAAAAATTATAAATATGTGTACTGAAACCACGCTCTCAAAAAGCAATTTCTAACTGATAGAATGTGTAGTAGCTATGCTACTAGAAAAAAAACTATATTTGGTACCACCTTTTTATTTATTTTTAAATTTATTAATATTTATAGGGAATTTAATATTTTGGGAATATAGGTCACCTTGGGAAACTTATATTATTTTATGTTGTATGTTTTATTTTACACATACACTATATAAGATACACCAGTGGTTCCCAACCCTGGTCCTGGAGGCACCCCAACACAGCACATTTTGCATGTCTCCTTTCTCTGACACACCAATTTCAGGTCTTGGGAGTCTCTACTAATGAGCTGATGACCTGAATCAGGTGTGTTTGATTAAGGAGACATGCAAAACATGCAGTGTTGGGGTGCCTTCAGGACCAGGGTTGGGAACCACTGAGATACACACTCAAAGTAAGACCAAAATAATTATACCAAATAGGTATCGTACTGTACATTAAATAAAGCACACATAGAAAAGTGTAATATTAACTTATATCAATGTATTTTTATTTACATAATTTTAATATATAACTTTAAGCATGCGTGAAACAATCAAAAATAAATTGAATGAATTGATAGGCTAATTCACATAAGTAAGATCAAATTGACAAAAAAAAAGAGAATTATTCTCACCATTTGATATATTAAACCTTTGGTTAAGAACTTGGCTCAAACATCTGCTATTGGCTTCAAAATGCTAAACATGTATTCTTAACATGAACATAAAAAATCATTCTGTCTCTTCTCCAGTGACATCTACCTCCTCCTCTTCAGTGGCATCCAACTCATCCTCTTGGTCCATTAGACCCTCAGTAGGCAGTGTGACAACCTGTCTGGCTGCCAAAAGCCCTAATAGATCTTCTACAGACTCCTCTACAACATCTACTTCAATATCGTCTTCATCTAAGTGGCAGTCATCTCCTGATTCTGAATTGGACATCACCGTTAAGATACCTTCACTGCACACTTTGGGGCTGTGAAGGGATACTTCAGTCTGGACAGAAGGAGCATCTCTGCCTATTATTTCCTGTGTGTTTCTAAGTTTCAGAGCTATGAGGTCAAAAGAGAAATCAGGAATATGGATTATTAATAACAGAATGTACAAAAATGTTGAATTATAATTCTAAATTTAGCCATTTTACCTCTGTTTGATGCATCATCTGCAGTCTTAGCACTTGCAATTTGTCCTTTACTCAATTCATCTTCCTCCAGAAGGGTCCGTCCATCAATCATCTCAACACTGTATTGGTCCCCCTCCACATCAATTTCATCATCATCCAATCCATTGGTGGTTTCCCCACACCCATCTTCTGAAGCAAGCAAAGCATTTTCCTCTACAAATTCATTTGCCCTCAGAAATTCAGTTTCTTCTCCTTCCATAGTTTCTTCAATCATCTGAACCTCTTTGCTCCTACCTGAATCCTCCTCTTTCTCTAAACAGTCGGCCACCCAGCTATCCTCCTGGGTGTTAACACCATGTGCTGCCTGAACGTCTTTGTCCATGTCTGATGTCAACTCAAATGAACACTCATTTGAAACTGTAGCTTCAGAGTTTTGTTCATCTGGTGTACTATCAGGATTCATACAGAAATTCCTTTCTATTCCCTCGATCACTGTTAGTTCGTTGGAAGAAACAACACAGTCTTTCTTTGTAGGTGACATTGCATGATCAGCACCATCAATATCATCAGCCGGCATCATAATTTCCTTCATTATATCCTCCTCAGCTGTTAACGGGACAGAAACCTCAGTCATTTGGTCCCAAATGTCTTTTCCCATCTCATTTTGGGAATCACTATTCTGTAACACAGTGGCTGTAACCTCAGTTGCCGTTTCTCCATCTTTAACCGAATATTTTACGTTTTCTGGCATGTCTCCACATGACAACGGTGACCCTACTTGGTTGTCAGATACCTCCATATCTTCCTTCTCGTTTCTCAGCATAGAAGTCTCTGCTTTTTTCTTACCACAAATGCCCTTTTCGATCAGTTCACTGCTATTCATCACTAATTTACTATTCTCATCTTCACTTTTCTCTCCTCGGAATTTTTGAAGGCGAAAAGACGTGTCTCGCAAACTTGATGTTAGCTGCTGATCAATATTCGGAGAACTCCTACAAGCGAGGCTTTCAACAGTTGGAAGAGTCTGATGGAAAATTTGATCAAGGATACTTGGTCCCTTCGCCTGAACAGCATATTTTAAGTGAGAATTTGGGGTTGTCTGTGCCAAATTGCTGTTAACATCTGCTTCTTCCATTTCTGTTGAGTCTTTCTCCTGCTGTGTATTTGGTTCTTGCTTATTACCCTGTTCAATCTCACTGTCCGTCGTAGTTTTTTTCACTTCACAATAATCTTGTCCTGAAGTGGGCAATTTCTCTGCATTGTTGCACAAGTATTTTTGGGGATCTACGGAAGTATTTTTGGATCCTGGGGGTCTGCCACGACCACGTTTCACAATACCCGTGTCTTTTGGTTTAGGTAAAACATCTTCATATTTTTTATTGACGGTACGAGGCATTTTCTTACTGAGAGGTGAAGAAATGTCTCTTTTTCTCTTCACACCTGCAGCTACTTTTCTGTTTGCATTGATAATTCGGGTACTCACTCGGCGTGCATTAGAAGTTGATGGCTTAACCTTTTCACTGTGGGGTTGAACTTGATCCTGATTCTCTAGGTTTTGACACTCTGTATCCCCATTCACTTTTGACTTGTGAGTTGCAATCCTCTGTCTTCTCGTCCTTCTCTGCTTTGGGTGCTCACTAGCATCCTTCACATCATGCTGAATGGTGTTTGAACTACTCCCACTCATTAAATCATCTTGTAAAAAGGAAGTGTTCAATTCTTGATTTTCTGAAAGGTCAGAGCACGATCGATTTTGGCAGGCGATGAGGTCAGGTTGTGGATGTGGGTAGGAGGAATCAATCATCGAGCTTAGAGGGAAGTCCAATTTCAGTGGTGACTCAGAAAGCCACAAGGGAAGGTTTTGCGTTTCTAGGTCCTGCCTGTGTGATATTTCTTGTGTAGGAACATCACTGTCTCCCTTATCTGATTCAAGGGGGGAAAGGCATCGTAGTAGTTTGAAATCTGGCCCGTCATCCAGTATGCTGGTCATACCAAGGCTTGGCATTTGACCTGCTGCAGGAGAAGGGTAAGCTAGGGCGGCTGTGGCTTTTGGGGTTAAAAACAAATCTTCTACCAGTGAAGGAGTGGAGTTTCTTGCCACAGTTGCCAGATTCTTATCATTGTTCAAGTCGTCCTGTCCAGGTGACTGAGCCAGGAGCTCAAATGTATTGGATCTTGACTGATTTTGAAAGCCTGAGTGATCTAAAAGAAAAACAAGGAGTAAAGTGCTCAATGACAAATTATTATTATTATTATTATTATTATTAAGGAGTAAAGTGCTAATTTCTCTACTAAATCAACCCAGAAACATGCAAATCAAACAAAATAAACATAAAAACAATCATTGTAAAACAGGAAATAATATCATAGAGAATATAATATCATATTTATGAATTATAAACCATGATGACAGGTTTTTTTTTAACCTTTTAAAGTATTAAATGTTTATATTTGATAGTTACACCACATGACATTTCATTCAATTTAAACTTTTAACTATAAACCTGACCCAAAGACTAAGACAAGCATATCACATGCTGTTTGGGTTAAGCAAGCATGTGAAGAATCATTTCAATTAAACAATGACAAAGAGCAAAGTAAGAAGAGATGCAATTTGTGGGTCAAAGAGGGAGCTGAGAATGTTGGATGTTTGGTAAATGTACTAAGTGCTATACTAAAAACATGACAAAGACAGCTGGGAGCACTGCAACATAAAGAATGTACACTTGCATAGTGCAAAGCACCACAAACCCAAAACATGTCAAGATGATGCTTTACCTTTATCTCTTTGTCCTGGTGACCCAACTGGTACTGCCTTTTTGCTAACATCAGATTCCTTCATCTCTGGCTCGCAGCTTTGTACATAAAGACAAGCACCTTGAGCCCTCTGCTGACCTTTTGGATCTTGAAGAAGACCTAGCTGGTCTTGCTCATCCAGATTTCTGTCTATTGGCATCAATGGCAGGATGTTTAAACCCATTAACATATCGTCCAACATCTTTGCAATATGTTCATCAGATTCATCTGCTTGGGGTGGGCTTGAAGATAATTTTGGTATATCCAAAGGGGAAGAGACAGAAATGTGGTGTGGGGTATGAAGACATTTATCTGAAGAGGCATGCGTGGAAGAATTAGACGGTGAAATAGTCAGGTCTGTCGGTGGTGTGAGAGTTCCAAGACCTTGACCAGGAAGTACAGGTGGGCAGCTCTTTAGTCAGATAAAAAGTAAAAATAAAATTATGAAATGAACACAAATGAAATTTTGCTATAGAAATATATATACCGTAACATATTTAGCCAAATTTGTTTGCTCATATAAATGCAGTTACATGTAGTTTGTATTATATATACAGTATAATTACAATCAAAAATATTCAACTCCTCAGAGACTGTAATTTACAAATGTAAGTTTTTTAAATGGCATCTATGACAGTTTAGTGGCATATTAAAAGTGATAATGTCAATATATAATGTAATATTTCTGAGTTATATGATTTTTTTTTGTACTACAGATGTGTCATAATTATTCAACCCCTATTCAACATTGTTGTTTTTAAGTCACTTATTTCTATGGTAGGGTGCAAAAGAGCTCTCACAAAAGTTATAGTGAAGAAATAGTTTTATTACATTATAAAGTCTATAGCCCTATTCGCACGGGATTAGTATTACTTGATGACCTCTAGTCATTTGTAATAATTGCGGAGGTTGTCTGTGATCTTAATCCCGTGCGAATCGGCCATGTCTGTAATTTGTAAAGTAAAAATTCCCCCGCAAATGACCTACCATATTTCGCCGAACACCGAGGTCCTGTGATAATATTACTCCTGTGCGAATCGGCATCTCTGTAATTTGGCGGGGTCGTATATAATTTTTTCAAGGTTTTTGTTTCGTGTACGCCTTTTTATCCATCTTTTGTTAAGAATGGAGGCTGCATTGGAGTGTTTTGATAGTATTTTGGGTGCTGGGTCATATTGCTTTACATGGGTGGTTCTAGGACTTCATCCACAGGAGGGCTGAGCACTCAGACAGACCACTAGATACAAAGATATAAATGACCTAAATTAATTGAAGTAAATATACACAAATATCCATTAAAGCTACAGACAGGTCTGTCGGTGGTGTGAGAGTTCCAAGACCTTGACCAGGAAGTACAGGTGGGCAGCTCTTTAGTCAGATAAAAAGTAAAAATAAAATTATGAAATGAACACAAATGAAATTTTGCTATAGAAATATATATACCGTAACATATTTAGCCAAATTTGTTTGCTCATATAAATGCAGTTACATGTAGTTTGTATTATATATACAGTATAATTACAATCAAAAATATTCAACTCCTCAGAGACTGTAATTTACAAATGTAAGTTTTTTAAATGGCATCTATGACAGTTTAGTGGCATATTAAAAGTGATAATGTCAATATATAATGTAATATTTCTGAGTTATATGATTTTTTTTTGTACTACAGATGTGTCATAATTATTCAACCCCTATTCAACATTGTTGTTTTTAAGTCACTTATTTCTATGGTAGGGTGCAAAAGAGCTCTCACAAAAGTTATAGTGAAGAAATAGTTTTATTACATTATAAAGTCTATAGCCCTATTCGCACGGGATTAGTATTACTTGATGACCTCTAGTCATTTGTAATAATTGCGGAGGTTGTCTGTGATCTTAATCCCGTGCGAATCGGCCATGTCTGTAATTTGTAAAGTAAAAATTCCCCCGCAAATGACCTACCATATTTCGCCGAACACCGAGGTCCTGTGATAATATTACTCCTGTGCGAATCGGCATCTCTGTAATTTGGCGGGGTCGTATATAATTTTTTCAAGGTTTTTGTTTCGTGTACGCCTTTTTATCCATCTTTTGTTAAGAATGGAGGCTGCATTGGAGTGTTTTGATAGTATTTTGGGTGCTGGGTCATATTGCTATACAGGGGTGGTTCTAGGACTTCATCCACAGGAGGGCTGAGCACTCAGACAGACCACTAGATACAAAGATATAAATGACCTAAATTAATTGAAGTAAATATACACAAATATCCATTAAAGCTACAGACGTTACTTAATTAAGAGCAGCGAGTGATTCTCTTTTTCTTTTATTGTTTGATTAACATTATTAACATAAGAAATGCACGGGTCCGTTATATTAATGCACATCCGATATTTTCTTAACTATTTACGTTCACTTAAGACGTAACCAACTGTTTTTACGTCGATACTCGTCAAGACAGCCATTCAGACATAATTTTGTACGAATTTGCTCAAGACGTGAAAAAGAACTAAGTTTGGTATTTGCTTGATGTCTGAGAGAAGGCTTTCTGTGTGTGCACGCTTCAGGTGTGTGCGCGCACAGAGACGATCTATGACAGTGCGCGAGTACCACATTGAGATCTCTTCTGCTTGAATAGCTTAAAATCACTTAAATGTTTAAACTGACAAGCCTTAAAACACATGAGAATGATAAACTTTCTTGAGGAAGCAGCAGGCCTGATCGTTCAGATAGTTTTAGGGGGGCTGAAGCCCACCTAAAAATGGTCTAGAACCGCCCCTGTCGCTATACACCATACAACTATACAATTTGTAGAAAGAGAAATCTGAAAACCATCAGAAGAGTGAAAACAAAAAGAATGATTAGATGGAGATAGATGACATAGCAGCATGCAGTAAGAAACATTCATATCTGGGAGTTAAGTCTGTAAATTCGAGTGAAATCACAGGCTTCGCTTATCCCATGCGAATGCGCCACACGAAACTCAGATGTGGGGGGTAATTTCTAAATCACACGAGGTCCCCAGATAATACTAATCCCGTGCGAATAGGGCTTATGGCTACAAGATTTCAAAGTCACTAAAAGTTCCAAGAGACAGAGCTGGCAACCTTATTCATAAGTTTAAAATGTGTTATATCAGAAAACATTTGAGGGCGTTGAAGAAAAAGCATATTACCGTCAAAGGGAATAAAATACTTGATCAGAGCAACTAAGAAAAACACTTGATTTACTGCCAAAGAATTGCAAGATGATCTGATGAAAGGAGGGAAAAACATTTCAATGCAGAGTATAAGACAGACACCAAACATGCATGACCTTCATGTTGGGACATCTTTCTGAACACCATCTCCATCGTCAAAATTGGAGGTGGACAGGTCTTGTTATGGGGGTGATTTGCTGTTAAAGGAAGTGGAAATCTGACTGTATGAAGGACAGGCAAAGATTGTGATACCTTCGGGTGCAGAGACTGAAGCTGATGATCATTGGACTTTCCAGCAGGACAATCATTATGAAGTATACATGGTTTAGGGATCAGTTGTAGAATGTTGAGTGGCCTGTTCAGTCTTCAGATTTAAATCAAATTTTGTGGAATTTGAAGAAAGATTATCAGTGATCTGAAAGCTTTTTCAAGCAAGGAATGGGGCACTTAGGGGCAGCGTTTATTGGAGGTTATAAAAAGTAAAAAGACTTTCTACAAAATTAACTGTTGGGGGTTGACTAATTTTGTACATGAATGTTTAGAGCCAATCAATGTGATTTTTTTCATTAACTTTACGTTCTCAATCACTCAAATGTGTATTAATAAATGTTCTTGGACGCCTTGGTTGAACCGTTTTCACAAATTTTTGTTCACGGCAGCAGAATGTTTTACAGGTCGTGGTGGTTGAATCATTTTGATTGCAACTGTGTGCGTTTTGTGTGTGTATAAACATATAAATGAAAACATTAGTGCAGCCTAACATTTTTGTGGAAACCATGATGTTTTTTTTTTTTCAGGATGTGTATATATTTCAAATATATAAACTATGCTTTAATTGTCTAAATTGTGTTATAAATGTAAAGATAAATCCATACCTGAGATCGAAGTCCACGCTCTTTCACTTCTTCTAGCTGCTTCTCGCTCTCACCTTGAACGGAAACAAGGAGGTTGCTTTCCCAGCAAGCTCCACTCCTCCTCAGTTTTATCTTTAATTTAAGCTGGTCCAATTTGGCCTCCTTTTGTTCAGCAGTAGCACTTTTTTGCCTGTTATCTGCCTCTAAAAGTTTCCGGAAGTTTTTGCCTGAAATGTTTATTTGTTGCTGAGTTAATTTTTTTAATTGGCTTTCTCTCTTTGCCATTTCCCACCTCTTCTTAGGCTTTGTTTTATGATGATTTGATAGGGATACTTCTGTCACGACAGCGTGGGAAGGAACAGTGGCATTACTGGTGCAATTAAAACCTCTAATTGGACTAGCTTCATCAAATAATGACAATGATGGCAAATCAGACTCCAACAAGCCACAAGGTTGCACTGAACGTACTGGATGAGCACTGCTCTGTATCCTTAATGGCTCAGACACGATTTCACCTTCCTGGCTATTCACATCTTCCGTCTGTACACCGATCTCTCTCCAACATCTCCCAACATCCGCAACTCCTCTTTCTACACACACTCTCTTTTTTTCAAAAAGGTTTTTAAGACCAAGTCTGAAGGCAGCAGCCATTACTTCCTCATATTCGCTCTGACTCTTGATCTCCATTTCCCCCGTATACAGGAACTTAACTAGCTTTAGTAAGACACGAGATCCGACAGCCTCAAGGCTCAGAAGCCTGTTCTGCCCTGCATGTGGAGCAGGGGAAGTGGAAAGGACTCTAGAGAGGACGGGGCTTAGAGCAGCCAACACACAACTGTGAGCTGGAACACAGACACCTGAAGATTTGAAAAGATTTTAAATGATAGTAAAAGCATAGGAAACATTATGTCAATTACCACATTACAGGCAAAGGTTGTCTACTGATTCTCAGATGTAAAATAACAGTAAACATAAACCAAATGATTCTTTCCCTCTCACAAATGGCTCTTTTTTCGATTCTTAAAATGTCAAATTTAAAACCATTTTAAATTACAAAAATGGCCAAGCAAACAAATCAACTGCCAAAAGAGAAAAACACAAATCAAACCAAATGAAGCTAAATATTATTGGAAGTATTTTTTATTAATGTTGTATCATGAGCCTTCAAAAACTGCTAAAAAATTGTTTGAAAAAAAAAAATCAATGGTGTGCTGAATAATAAAAATGAGTTAAAGTCCAGAAAATTCATTTACAGCATTACACATTTTTCATTTCTATGATTTATGTCTATGGTTACCAACTGTTGTACAACTTGGAAATCAGAGCAATGACATCAGGGTCTTTCTTTATATGATTTGTTTACAAGGTGCAAGTGATAAAGTTGACAGATTTTCCCAATGACACAGACCAAGAGCTGGATATCTGCAACACAAGATGATCTCTTACCGTCTGTCTGTATTAGTGTGTCGCAGAAGATGCTTCCCTGCTGCTGCTTCTGAAGTTCACCAAGCAGGAATAATGCAAAGTCAGGATGCTGATACTGCAACATGCTGGTAGCAACTTCAGACTAAAACACATTTAGAAACGTAAAAACAAACGTTAAAACTGTTAACGATCCAGAAATAACAGCTTCCTTCAATTTTGCAAGATAAGATTTACTTACTTTGTGTTATCGATTCAGATACAACAGCTGATATGAATAGTTTATTTTTTTTATTTTTTTTTTAATTTATGTAAATATTTAGAGAAGACAGATGAATGTCTGAGGATCAGGTAATTTTGATCTCAATTCAACGTCTTTATGTTGTTCGGTATTAAATGGCAAAGAAACGCAAGTTCAGCCATACTCTCAATCAAGGTCAACTAAGCCTGATATCGCGAGTATTATTATTACTGCAAACCCGTCGCGTTTTCAAACGCTAAGTGCACGTGGTTCATCAAAACTTGCTAAAATACCCATATTATAATCCAAAATACACAAATAATTTTACATACTCAACACAGGTGATCTGTAGGACACGTGAGCCACTGCATTACAAATCTCATGTCAACCGACTCTCTCAAGCTCTACTCATCAGCAGCTTCAAAGTGAGATTTTCAGTGACACGAATCGTTTGAATCGGTTCACCAAAAAGATTCATTCACTGATTTGTTCGGTGGCCTGTCTGCACGTTACACCAGTAGGTGGCGCCATGTGTGAACATCTTGAAGGAGTCGTATCTGTTCTCGCCTTCTTGTGCTGAAGTCTGGCAAAGGATCATTCATAAAATGTGAATAAAACGTGATAATTATATATATATATATATATATATATATATATATGGTCATAATATTATTGTATAACATATTAATAAATACACAACTGCATTTATTGTTTTGAAAAATCTCTCCTAAGTACAGAACCTAGTACTTGTGCAGTGAACCTAGTGCAATGTTTACGCTGTGAAAATTAGCGTTTGTTTTAATGGTTCTGAGCAGAGCCTCAAGATGACTTAAAATAATTTAATATAAGCATTATTATGTTAAAACAACTAAAACCCAACATATTTTAACCGAACTTTAATTCACCTCCTCAAAAGCAGTTTTTTTTTCGTTTCGAAAAAACTTGAGGTAGCCTAATTTAAAAAAAATTTGATCATGTAATTAATAAAAATCTTACAACTATGGGCATTTTTATAATATATTTACATTTTGTCTAATTACGCCAAACTCACCAAAATATTTCATCAAATAGTATGAATTTTTATTTTTATTAACTTTTATCCTTTTCCAGTAAATGACTGGAAGACTCATGCAAATGCATTGGTAAAAAATGATGGGTACCTTGAAAAACATTCAGCTCTTAAAACTTGTAGAATTTACAGCATGTTGCAGTTAATTTACAGAATATTTGAATATTGCTGTGGACAGTGGGTGACCTTAGAGTAGGTTGAGAATCACTGGTTTAGTTGTTTACAAGTAATTTAAGATGACAATTAGCAGTTTATAATTTTTTCATTCAACTTATGTTAAGTTTCCACTGTCTCAACTAGTTTTGACTCGTTTTTTTTTTTTAGAAATACTTAAGTTGAATCAATTCAATAATATCATGTGCATCAACTATATTTCCCAGTAAGCAGCTAAACTCCAAAAGGTGCTGAAATAGATTTATCAAATTTCTTAATGTCAATAAACTGACATTCTTAAAGTGAAGAAATGTAAACAAATGTATTCAATGTGCTAAAAACACCATGTGAATCACACAAAAACTCACTGTCAGAACCTTGGAAAAAAAAATCATTCTTTTATTAAAAAAAAACAGTAACAGTATTGCTAAGTTACATGTTCAATCCATGAGAGAAAAGGTGCAATGTTTAAGACCAAAGGTAAAGTGTTGAAATACAGGAATTATTAATCAAGATCCACATGTTAGTGTTGCAGAAACATGTCAACTGACAGCACATGACACAAAGAATTTTTCCTTTCGTCTTTAATTAAAAGATATAAACCGTAAATGCATTTATTTAAAAAATAAAACTGATTGCATATGCATTCACCCACAACATCCCAGAAAAACAAAATCAGCCCCAATCATAAAATATAGAAAAGAAAAAGCAACAGGACAAAAACCAAGAAGAAAAAAAAATAATTAAAATTAACAAATATTCTCTGGTATATATAGTTAAATGTGCTTTTATTTTACCTATCTTATTTTCTCATCAAGCAAGAATCAATATCTGGCTAAATCCTGCCTGAAAGAGATGCAATTTTTTGTAATTAAAAGATTCATTTATCTGCCTACAACATCGAACAATCGATTGATTCCTTGAACTTGTGAACAGCCTCCTGCATCAGGACTCGGACTTCTGGCTCACATCCATTTAGTCAACAGCCAACCTTTCCTTTACGGACTGTAGTGTCGCGAAGGATTAGACTGGATTGGCAGACAGGGAATTAAAAAGGCATGGGGGGAAAAAAAAAATCGTAAAAAAAAATAATAAATCCATTGACCCCTAGTGCTAGTTTCCATTCAGTAAATATCTACAACAGACTTACTGTGCATTTTGAATATGCAGTCTAAGAAACAAGCACTGTACTTATGGATCTCAAAGAAAAAAAAAACAATGCATATACATCCTCAAATGTACACTCGTTCACTCTCTAAACAGACAGGCACTGAAACCAAGAGGCAGAAGGGTGGTCGAACGTCCCTGTTCACCGCTTATCACGAACACACACTCACACGACGCGTTGAGCAAGCGAGGCACTCCAAGTATGCAGAGTGGATCTGTGAGACGGTCATATTTACACATTCATTTATATTCAGACAAAAATGAAAATGCACAAACTGGGTCCACCAGCAGGGCAAATTCACAAAGTACTGAAAAGTAGGAGCACTGACCTAAGACCAGAGCTACAATTTGTCTCAAAGTTAATAGCTTTTTTTTTTATCTTCTCTTCTGTGGCTATTTTCTTGTATTTATTAAGAATGAAGGGCAAGTTACTTTTGAGTTTCCACAAAGAAACTAACTGTTGACAGTGACAATTTCAAGACAAAACACCAAAACAAAGGGAAGAAAAAAGAAAAAAAATTCGCAAAACCGCTCTCCCACAATGGAATGCTTTGCAAATTTGACAACGTAAGGAGTCCCAAAGAACAAAACTATACTCACCTACCACTAGAGAACTTTCTTGAATGCTACTGGTTTTAAAAAAAAAAAATCTCCCAATCAAAATATCCCTCTGCCTCTTTTCTAATGCTTCATCAACGCTTTCACAACAAACAATGTAATATTAAAATGTACATACTTTTTAAATATTGACTTTTTCAGTCATTTGTTTTTGACTGTTCAATTTAAAGCGGTCATACTATTTGGCATCCTTCTTTTTGCACAAGATAAAAAGAGCTCAAATGAAAAATCTAATACAAGAATAAATTTAAAAATAATAATAATTTGAGTCCATTTTATATTGTCTTTTTTGAGGTGAAATATTGACTTTTCAGTTTTTTTTTTTTTTTTTACTTCAGTTGTTCACTGTAGCTTTGCAAATTTGACAACGTAAGGAGTCCCAAAGAACAAAACTATACTCACCTACCACTAGAGAACTTTCTTGAATGCTACTGGTTTTAAAAAAAAAAAAATCTCCCAATCAAATATCCCTCTGCCTCTTTTCTAATGCTTCATCAACGCTTTCACAACAAACCCTTCCTAGAGACTGAACACTCCACGAGACTATCCAAAAAACCACAGATGGATAACTAAAGGGGAATTGGTGGTCGTCTAGTGCTTTTAGAAAACAATGACCAAAAAAAAGTAAAAAAAAAAGGCCTCATGCCCATTGCAATGCACCAATGAGACATAAAACTTACTGAGAAAGTCTATATACATTATTTTCTGCAGGCCACATATGATTGATGCAATTTGGCATTACATTTTTTCAATGTGAACCACAAAGCAGGATGAAGCAAAATAATCAAAATACCAACGCCATACTATACTAGTGTTCTAATAGATGCATAAGCCAAAAAAAAGAAAAAGAAATGATTTATAAAGCTCGATAAGATGGGGATGTGACTAAACAGAGTTTGTAGTCCCTAGTGTTTCCATTATTTGACATGAAAAACAGTGGCATGGACCAAGATCGAGAAAGGAATTCATTGAGTCCATTTTAAGTAGTGGCTGTTTGCAATCACATTGATCTCAATGAGAGCAGGAGAGTGACAACATGAGAATGTTGAAAACTACTGAAGCGTCGTTGCAATTAGTGGCTATGGTCCCATAAGTGATGAGAACTGATCAGAGGCTCAGCAGGGACAGTAGGCAGGAGGAGGAAACTCACGGCGGGTGATGCACACGATCAGTTTTTCTGTGGACAGAAATAGGATGAGACATGAAGGTCAAGCGTGGTACTCTCTTACATTAGGTTTACTAATAACAAAGGAAAACAAATCAGTAATGTGTCAGTTGCGATGGGAATTTGTGCGCATTACACAAAAATCACATCACCCTTTTCATATGGCAAAGTGATGACGGATACAACCGCTAAAACATCAGTCATGTGACCAAAGAGGACACATGAGAGGAAGAGATCAGTGTTTGGGAGAAACTAACTGAAAAGTGGCAATGCTACTAATGGCACATTGAATGAGCTGTTTTCTGAATATATATATATATTCAGTTTTTTTTTTTTTTTTTACTTCAGTTGTTCACTGTAAATTTGTTACAATTTAAAGCAGATTAATAGCAAATGAAAAAGCTGATAAATTCAGCTTTAAATTCAAACAAATTAAATGTATTTTAATTTTTACAATTAAAGCAGTCATCCTACATGACATCATTGTTTTTGCACCTGATAAATATGGCTCTAATTGTAAAAATTTAAAGAAACGTTGAAAAATAAATGATAGAATAATTATAAAATACCTAGACTTTAGTCAATATTTCACTGCAAAACATCAAAAACAAATTACTATATATAAAATTTAAAGCGGTCACCCTATTTGCAGTGAAATTCTGACTTTTCAGTTGTTTTTATAATATGGCTCCATTTGTAAAATGTCACTATAAAAATATATTTGAATAAATAAATAATTTTAGTAAGCAGCTTGTATACCTAACTACTTTTAAGTAGCTGTAGCTTGACTGTGAAACGGTAGATTCCCAACTACAAGCTCCTCCAAATTTAAAGAAGCTTCCCCAACACTGGATGAGATTTACAAAAATTAGTAAAACCATTTCCACTCAAGTACAGAATAGCAAAATACTGTTAATGAGGGTTAGAACCACAAATACACTGAGAGGCACACATACACTTAAATATACACATGAAGGCCATGCAGAAGGTGGACACACATACCATGCGTGCTCATGCACTGAGTGGGGGGAGGGGGAGTGGCCTAACCATCATAAGAGTCCAAGAGAGGCAAAGAGCCCCGCCTCTCCCCATACATTCCTCCCTGAGAGTCAAAGAGAAAGAGAGATTGACAGAGGATAAAAGAAAGGGAAAGGCATCCAAGAAGAGGTGAGTGATAATAGAAGGAGAGGGGAATGTGAGAACCCTTCTTAGTATTATCAGTGAAATCACAGAAGGTTAATAACAAGTTTCAGGTTGTGCAGTGTGTAGGTTTCAGGATGTCTAGTGTGCTGAAATGCTTGTGAAGGAAGTTTAGTGAGAACAAGTTGTTTGTTGTGTGTAACTGCACAGGAGTGGATGTTCCCTTGCAGGTTTGTGTTACCTGAGGTGCCTCTCTGTCAGAGCGATCCAGAGTGTCGTCTAAAGTGTTTCTCCGTCCTCTCTGGTCTAGCGTAGAGTAAGCATCTGCCACCACAGATAAAAAGCATTTGTCACTGATCTCACACACACATAGTTGGGGAAATACTTTTTTGTTTTCCCAAGAAAGTGATACTTTTATTCAGCAAAGATCAAAAGTGACCATTTAACACTATAAATGTCTTTATTTCTTTTTCATATCATTTTTGTGCTTTTGAATTTTATACATTCATCCCAAGAAAAAATAAGCCAGCATATTAGAATGATTTCTGAAGGATCATGTGACACTGAAGACTGGAGTAATGATGCTGAAAATTCAGCTTTGCCATCTCAGGAATAAATTACATTTTAAAATATATTAAAATAGAAAATGGTTATTTTAAATTGTACAATATTTCACGATATTACTGTTTTTACTGCATTTTTGATCAAATAAATGCATTCTTGGTGAGCATAAGAGACTTTAAAGACATTAAAACATTTTTTACCAACCCCAATCTTGATGCACATGATATTTATTACATTTTACACTTTATATGGAACATTTTATAATCTATTTAATTTTAAAGTGCACACTGAAGCAAAAAGATACAAATGAAAATAAGAATTGCAAAAACTAAAACCACTGGAAAATGTGGTTAAAAGTTCATTTTAGACCTTGTGTATAAGCATTAAAGTTTGAGACTACAGTATGTGTTTTATACCTGGTCCCATGTCATTAAGAGGAATCATGTCTCTGTCCTGTTTGCCCCCTAACAAAGAGACCCAAACAAAGTCAGATCACAGAAACACTGGGATGTATGCTGCATGTCCATACAGCCGATAAACACCTGTTTGTTGCGTGAACACACTAAAGAGCATTCAGCGGGAATGTGTTGTGTTCTTACCCCTGTCTATTAGCGGCAGGGTGCTGTCCTCGTATCCCCCGTTGCTCCGGGTGTTGTTAGGAGGGTTAAGGTTCACCATGAAGTCTGTTTTCTTCCAGCCGTCTTTCTCCAGTGTGCGGCGGAGCTCCTTGAAGCCCCACACGATCTGCAGCACCAGCCCTGCACCACGCGCCTCTCGATCTGAACGGTTGCTATAAGGGGAAAATACAGATGATTGTCATTCACAGTTAAAATACTTTTTCCTCTTCCAGGTTCCTCCAATGTGACCGGCTAGTTATTAAAAATCACTTAAACATACCTGTCTTTGTTGATGAGCACCAGTCTCTCGATGCCCTGGGAGCTGCGCAGGGTTTTGGCCGCATCCACGCTGGAGCCGACCACCTCCACCATTGTGCTGAGAACAGACACCACCGTCTCCTCTGAGAGCAAGCGCACAGGCTGACTCTGACCACCGCCGGGCAGATTGGCCACCAAGTTAGGCACTGCATGCTTCCCTACACAGAGAGAGGAAGAGAGAGACACAGAGTAAAATACACTGGGATTCATTCATTGGGACTGTACACATATGGCTAATTTAATGTGAATAACACTGAATGGACAGAAATACGAAGGCTGACACAAACAAACAAGTATCATTTGCTCACATACCTAGCAGCTCACGGTTACGAGCGTCAATGGCCAGGTTTCTCAGAGCTCCAGACATGGCTCTGACCACACGGTCGTTCCCATGAGACAACAGCTCCGTCATCATCGGCAGGCCATGCTCCTGTCTCACCATTGCTCTGATGTACCGCCCATACTGGAAAGATAAGGAGTAAGTAGTAAACTGATGAAACTGTCAGATTTTACCTCCTGATGAACCTAATCAAACAAATATTAACTAAGGAATACATCATGACAGACTGGAGCTGCTCGATTATTTAATAAAAAAATAAAATTACAATAAATCAATTAATTTGGTCGGTATTGCGATCAAAATTATTTAACTCAGTGACTTTGGAAACATCACAAATTTATTCATGTTTTTAACACAGGATTTATTTTAACTTTAAATACAACTGAACTGAAAAACCATAAAAAAATAAAAATAAAATACAAAATAAATTACACACTCACACACATATATGTACATATACACATATATATATATATATATATAAAAAATTGTTTATTTTGATTGACTTGTTTCCATAAATTTTGAAAGCCAAAATTGTTATTGAAACTAAATTTCAGGTAATTGCCCAGCCCTATGGATCATAGAATTTATTCAAACTGATCACCTGGGTCTGTATATTCAAGATTAAATCAATACCCTTGGAATGTGTCAGCCAATCAGAATCAATAATTAAATATGGCTTATATATTGCAAAAGAGGTTAAATTATACTTTCATTTACTTTTCCCCTGATGTCCACTTATGAAGTTCAAGTTTTTTTTGTGGCAAAATATTTTTCATTAAAATGTAAAAAAAAAAAAAAAAAAAAAGTTAAA